AAAAGATGTTATTGTGTAGAGGAAGACAGGTGCTGCTATTTGGGTATGGGAGAGTTTGGACCTGGAAATGGAATGTCATGTCACACCTAACAAGCGCATAGCCTATTAATAGTCTGGCAGAGATTTCAGTAGCATGTCAGTATCTCTTAATTTTCTCAGTTTATCCAAAAAGTTAACAGAGAACCACGAGAGCCATGTGTTATTAGCAGCAGGCTACTACTGGTTAGAACAGTTCTCCTATGCAATTTACACACAACTGTACTCTTGGTCACACTTGAAAGACTGGTAGGATGAGCTGTCTTTTTTAAATTGATCATTTCTTCCTCACTTTTAGCACTCATCACTTGTGTTCCATGATGCTTCTGTTGTATGACATGTGGACTATGCAACTAAAATATAAACCTAATAAATGACTGGCTGCTTGCTTATCACTTGTTGCACACCATATTATCACTGGCTGTTTATGAACTATGGAGAGAGCTTGCCGTTTGTTCATGCAACTAAAAGTTATGTGCTTTCCTAACGCAGCTAACTTACGTACAAACATATGTATTTCTTATTGTTACTGAGGATGTCTGTTGCAATGCATATCATTATCATTTTATTGCCCATCTCTATGTAATATTGTGTGCAACAGGTAGATCAGTGCTATAAAATCATGTCATATCCTGTTTTTACAGGCATGATGAATTTGGAGGAGTACTTCCAAAGAATTGGGTTTGATGGCTCTCATGACAAACCTGATCTGGCAACACTGAAGCTGATCCACAAAAAGCACATCCTGTCAATTCCATTTGAAAACCTCAGCATTCACTGTGGGGAAAGGATTACCCAGGACCTCGAGGTAATTTTCAATAAGATAGTGAGGAGCGGTCGTGGAGGTTGGTGCCTTGAGAACAACTCCCTGTTTGGCTGGGTGCTCAGACAAATGGGCTATGACACTGTGACCTTGAGCTCTAGAGTTTTCCAGAGTACCATCAATGAATTTGGCCTTGATGACACTCACCTCATCAACAAGGTGGTCATTGATGGAAAGGCTTATATAACAGATGTAAGCTTTGGAGTGTCTTCCCAAATGCGGGAGCCCCTGGAGCTCGTCTCTGGAATGGACCAACCTCAGGCAGCAGGGGTCTTTTGTCTTATTGACAAAGGGGACATGTGGGTGCTGGAGAAGACTGGAAGAAAGCCAGAGGTCATCAATCCAGAATTTGCTGAATCAAGTCTGGTGAGCAGAAAAGTAACGAAACAGATCTATTGCTTCACCATGGTGCCTCGTGAGGCTGATCATTTCTTTGAGGCAAACCACAAACTTCAGACAGATCCTACTTCACTATTTACCTGTAAATCTATCTGCTCCTTGCAAACACCCACAGGATTCCGAGCCCTGATTGGCTGGACCTACAGTGAGGTCACCTACAAGCCGGAAGAAGGTGTCGATGTCTTAGATATGAAGGACATACCAGATAATGTGAGAGAACCACTTCTGAGGGAGAGGTTCAGTTTAACACTGCAGAACAAACTGCAGCCTGTAAACAAAAAAGCATGGTACACACTCTGAAAGAAAAGGCATATATTTTTGAGAACTCTTAATTGTTCTAAAATAATGTGGTGATTTTTTTATGGGTGACTACATATAGCAGCTTGTTGACAAGGGGGTGGCCAAGGGTGGAACCAGTGTTCCCTAGAATCTGATTGGACAACCCTGGTGTTACCCCTGCCAAAATCAATTGGATGTGTCACTATTAATGAATGGAAATGAATGACAAATTGTTACCTTAAATATAACTAACATTATTTAGCATGCTACGCAATCTGAAAGAAAACACATATACTTTTGAAAACTCTCAATTGTCCTGAAATACTATCACAATGTGTGGCGATTTTATGACTGACCAGTGCAGCTTGTTGAATAACAGTTAATTTCAAATATTAAAAGTGGTTTGAAGTTTTGTACAATGTCGGAGATGCCATGTTATGACAAATGAGTAAAAAATTGTAACCCACATGTGTTGTGTTATGCCATTTCACTCATTAACATGTTGGCACATCTGGAGTTGGAAACTATACTGTACATTTAAATGAAGTACTCAAGTAGGCTACTGTTAGAAATTAATAAATTAGTCAGATAATTATTAGACTTTAATGTGTTAGTAATGTAGTTTAGTAAGATTCAAAGTCTGCTCTGTTTCAAGGTTAGCAGTAAGCAATGACACATTGTTTTCTTGTATTAGTCTTGTGTAAGAATTGTCTGAATGTTTTAATTACACATCACGCATACAACATACACACACACATGGAATTCTTCATTTTGTTATGACTAGGTAATACGCAGCTGCTCCAAGTATGTGGAGCTCTAGATAAGAGATGGAGTCTGCTGGACGGACTTCATCTGTGTAAGGGGTTAGTCCAAAACTGATAAATGTATTGGGCTCTGTGTTTCTGGGTGCTTTTTCCTGCTCTCTTCTCCAGCAGCTTGTCTAAAGGAGGGAGCCCTGGGTTGTGTTCTGTAATACTTTATTTATATATATATTTATAT